ATCGTCTCGGATAAGGAAAAAGTTGTTTAGAATTAATAAACTCACCGGCGATGTTTCAAGTCAAAATAGCTCAGTAGTGCGACACTGCTGACAGGACATGCCATAGAAATTTCGACTGGATTTCCACTTTCCTGATAGGATCAGTCATGTTTTGGTGAAAAATCAAATGAATATTTTCCTGCATGCAATGATACATAACGAAATTATCCACGATACCATTTCCACTTGAGGTATTTCACGAAATTACGATGAGTACGAAGCGTCTGCTGTACGACGCCATTTTTGTTTTGAGTGGGAGCGGATCAAATCCACCACACGCACCTGTTTTGAATAAATCTGCAATAGGTTATTTTTATCGATTTGTTTCTGCTCATATCGCTTCAAAATTATAAGGACAACTTTTTAAACTTAACATAACAAGGTGGATTTGTATTTTTCATTTTATTACTATTTAAAAAATATTTATTAATGGAATATGAGATTAAAAAAAAACAACAACAACACAAGTTCTGGATGACGAGAGTATAAAGACATCCTAGATTCATCCTTGCAGAAACAATGTATCTGTTCTCACTTATCAACTTGCTCTATTTTTTTTTTCTTTAAAAGATCACACGAAATTAATATTATAAAAAAAATGAGGTTCTATTGAGGATGACTGGGGGTGCAAGGTATATATACTTTCCTTCCAAGATCCATTTTGCAACTCAAAGTCATTTTAAAGCTACAGAATTGGAAACTGAAACCCTGTGCCTGAAGGGTCTTAAGCCTGTTGTAAAACTTTAAATCATAATTTGACAGTGAAAAAAGGTGAATCTGTCGTACTTTACAAATATTTCATGAACTTGTAGATTGACAAGCCCTAATCATTTTTCCTCATAAAATACCAATTTCATAAGTATCTCAATAATCAGTTGTCTTATAGTTAGGAAATATTATAAAATGATCATTGATCATTCATTCTTACTGAAAATCAATGATTCTGATTCGCCGATGAATTTCTGTATCCATTTTTTTTTCATTCGTACATGTAAATATCTATTTATAGTACAATGGAAAACCCATTTTTGTTTTGGAATTGCCATTATGTAACATGAGGCTACAATACATGTGTACTTTGAGTGAAATAGAATCATCACTCTAAAATCTTTTTGATCAAACTGTGGTAAATCTAGTTTTTTTTCTAGTTAAATTATGAACTTATAAAGGGAGGATGTCACTATATATTTAAAGTTTAAAGTATCCTACAGGAAATGAAATCAGACGATGAGATTCAAGTTAAAGTTTAAAAATTATTTTTTGTAAACTCTTGACGAAATTATTACAATGCTGATCTAGGGTTACAAAAGCTGAAGGACTGTAGCTCTCTGCTTGGGTAAATTCGGACAGATAAATTGCCCCCCTCCCCACCCTTTAATTTTCATTCCGGTGTATGAAAATGCAAATATTTGCCGCATATATGTATACACGTACACTGTATAATGAAAGACTCTTTTAAAAAGTATAAAATACGGGTATGTTTATAAATTTTTCCACTGTTAAGAGAAATGTAGTGAAGTAAACGGGAAGAAATTTGTTGCAATATTCCACGTATAGATTAGGCTAAATATATAGGTGAGTCTGCGACAGAAAATGCATTGCGTATTATACAGGGAGCCTGCGACATAAAATGCATTGTGTATTTTAAAGTTAGTTATTTTTTTTACTTGTTACCAAGTAGATCCGATATCAGCTTATTTGTTTCCTACCGATGACACTGGAGGGAGCTGTACATAGTTTTTGTCTGTGTATGTCCGTCAGTCTGTCTAGCTGTACTCTTTCAGTTCACATGTGCCACTTGTTTTTCTTCACTTTTTTTCTAAACATCTGCAATATTGAGCTGCGTAATTTTTTGTATGCGGGTTTTTCTTGCTGAATTAAAAATAAAGTTTGCATTTTTCCGCTTAAATGATCTTTGACGGAATTTGGGGACTTTCTTGTTTATAACTAGATTAAACCTTGGGTGTAAGGGACCTGTATTGCTGGGGCAATGATAATACCCCGATGTGTGTTGAATATTATTTCTAAGTAACTACCGGTACCTTACTTTTACTTGTCTAGGAACTTAGCAGGAAGATCATATAACTTTCTATAATTTAGGTTGCATACACGTTAAAATGTCTTTTAAACCCCTGCTTAAAATTAGTTGCCCCTTTGTAAACACACTATCATTTTCACTGTATGTTTGACACTTTTCATTCATCTAAAATCTTTAATATAACAGTTTTAAATCAAAGGAGAAAAGAACCATGTCCCTTTCTTTTTTTCTGCTACTTGTATGTGTGAGCCCCTAAAACCCCTATCCACTGATAATTACGGTAGCTCGTATAAGACATGGTATGAGATTTTTTTCAAATAGGGGGCACGAAATAAAATTCGTGGGAACGAAATAAGAATTCGTGGAAACAAAATAAAATTCGTGGGGTTATCAGCTGTTACATGTATTTTTTTCTGATTATTCTGTAATGCACATACGGTTTTGAATGCAGCTACTGGTATAACATCAAGGGTACAAGTTTTTAATTCATCTTTGCAAACATAAAGATTCTTTGACAGATTTTTTTTTCTGGCTGGTTTTGATATATTATATTCTCCCTCACTTCGTTCATCCAAATATGAATTTATTAAGAACTAAATAATCAACATACACATGTGTCGTAAACAGGTTGCTGCTCGTTAGCTCTTTATTTTTAATATTATACAAATAATCTCAAGATAATCTCAATTCTAAATCATCTACGGAAGATTTAATTTGTATATCGTCCATTTTTTGCACAAAATGTTCTTAATACACAGTGTACCTTACTACCTAACAACTTGATATTCAAAGAACCGAGCGAACTTAGATAAACGCTCAACCCTGCGAACTGCTATTTGTACCAACAAATTACGTGGACCTAATTTCGAACACGCGACAACTACGACCGAACATAAGTATAACTTGTATGTTCACATTCAGTTTATACATTTTTATATCCATATCAAAACAACTTTCTTTTGTAAAATAAAGTCTTCAATTTGTAGTCACAGATGCTAAAAGAAAAACTGCATTTTATTTGGCAATAGTCTAGTCTCATACAATACATGTATGGATCAAACCTGTTAGAGTGACTTTATGCAAAATACAATCATTGCAGAAAAGGAAGTGCTGTTTTTTATTTTATATAAAAATGAGAGGTCATAGTGCTGTATATTGTAATAGAAAAATACTTAGTTCATAAAGAGATATTTTATCATAGTTTAATAAATAAAAAGAACTACAAATGTTGTTTTTTTTTGCCGACTTCCCCAAGTCCATTAATCGAAATGAAAATATTTTCATCTACGTAACTATGCAAGTAGATAATTGTATGAATTTTCCCAAAATGTATTAGTATTCGGGAAGAGAATAATATATATAACGTTATAATTTTTGTAAAACTTGAATAAAGCTGTAAACAAAGTTGTCATTAATATTCGATCAATTTTTAAAGAAGTGTAACATGTAGGCATGAATCGAGAATTATCGTGCATAGTTCTTTATTTTTGGTATTTTATTTGGTTACTAGGGATTTAATTGGTTACTAAGGATTTATTGGGTAACTTAAAGTTTAATTTTTACTGTATTAATTATATTTTATGTGTATAGACAGTGTACATAAAATACACAAAAATATGTGACTGTAACATAATTATTTGTTATTCTGATGTTCACCGTGGTTGCATACAAACTGTTAAGAGATCTTCCAACACGTTTATACATTTTTTATATGACTGTAACGCTGTTGCTAAGGATTTCGTTTATGCCTGTAGGATAAAATTTTGAATTCTAAAGATACATACAGATCTTAATCCTTAAAATACAAACGTTGAAGCTTACAATTTCATATCATAGTACACAAACATCCCTTTATCTCAATATTTTTATACATTTAGAGTTGTTACTAGGGACGTGTTTGGTTGCCATGGAAAATTAAATTTTGTATTTCACCTACAATTTACAATGTTTCTAGGATTTAAATGATTTTCAGCTCACCTCAACGAAGTTGGGGGAGTTTATGTAATACCCTCTGCATTGGCGTCCCAGGTTAAGGTTAAGTTTTTTGGAGCAGTTTCTTTTTAAGTACTTCTATGTCCTATATTGATTAGACATGCATGGAAGATGTTGCTAGTGTGTTTCATTGTACCGGTCAAAGTTTCAGATGCTGCAATTTCAGCAAAGGAATGATCAGCTTAATGTTTTTGGTGCAGGTTAACATTTTTGGTGCAGTTTTTGGTGTAGGTCTCATTTCCGAGTAACTATAAGCCCTATGTTGACCAAACTTACATGGATGATACATCTTAGGATGCATACTACCAGCCTTGCTTCGGATGCTGAATCTGACCTACATTTTCCGGTTGAGTGAACAGGTTAAAGTTTTTGGTGATGGTTTCATTTTGAAGATACTTTGAGCCCTATAATGACCAAACTTGCATGGATGGTACATCTTAGGATGTAATCTACTAAACTTGCTTTGGTAGCTGAATCTGACCTACATTTTTCGGTTGAGTGAAAAGGTTAAAGTATTTGGTGATGGTTTCATTTTGAAGATACTTTGAGCCCTATAATGACCAAACTTGCATGGATGGAACATCTTAGGATGTATTCTACTAGACTTGCTTCGGATGCTGAATCTGACCTACATTTTCCGGTTGAGTGAACAGGTTAAAGTTTTTGGTGCAGGTTTCATTTCCAAGTTACTATGAGACATATAATGACCATACTTACATGGATGATACATCTTAGGATGCATACTACCAGCATTGCTTCAGATGCTGAATCTGACCTACATTTTCCGGTTGAGTGAACAGGTTAAAGTTTTTAGTGATGGTTTTATTTTGAAGATACGTTGAGCCCTATAATGACCAAACTTGCATGGATGGTACATCTCACTACTGTATTAAAAAGACCCTGAGAATCCAACAAAACCCTGAGGAAGTACTGAGTTGTACTGAGAAAACCCTGAGTGGTACTGAGGCTACTACTGAGATTCTGTGGTAGTCCTGAGATGCACTGAGGTTTTGACTGTGCATTCTGTTGTGCTACTGAGGAGCACTGAGGTTTGGACTGTTGATACTGTTGAAGTACTGAGGGGCACTGAGGTGCTTCTGAGGGAACTGAGCTGATACTGAGTGATACTGAGGTTTTTTCTGAGGCTACTGAGGACATACTGAGAGGCACTGAGGTGTTCAAAATCCAATTATATGAGAATAAAATAAGATTGAAAGTGAATAGACAGATAATTCTTCTTGTACATAACCTTCTCTTCCTTATAGTATTTCTTTTCTTTGATTTACGGAGCCACGACCCTAGTTAATATTCAATGACCAAGTATATAATTATAGTGTATATTTTTTTTTCTTTTATTCAAGATTAATAATCACGCAAGAATCCTCTGCGTGCATTTGCCGTGTTTGTAATTATTGTCAGTAACAATAAATATTTTTACTCTAGGTATTTTTTCTTAAACGAAAACAGAATTTTAAATATATATATATACTAGACATGATATCTATGTAAGAATTACTCACGCATGAATTGAAAACTAATTAATATTTTCATCTATTTGATATGATGTGTGTCGTCCTTATTTGACTGAAATTGAGAACAAAAGTTAAATTCATATCATTTTATTAAGTGTTAAAAATGTATTTTGAAGTCAATTGAGAGTGTATTTATAATAACAACATTATAATCAACATTTCTCCCAATTTCGCTGGTAATTTATTTTCTGGAAAAAAATAGAAATAGAGTTTCTCTAGTTCCTTTTTTTAAGCTAAGCTGGTCCGAGAAATTTATTTAATATTTGTTAAAATGACTAATTCTCAATGTGTGGTACTTTTTTTTTAAATGATCAGAACTATGCAGTTATGCCTTCAAGTTTCCATTTTCAGAAACATGTATTATGTTATAATTGATTTAGAAGCATTTTCTTGACAATGGACATTTTAAATTGAAAAAAAAAAAACGTATCAAAAGATTTGACTTAAATTCCCCAAGGACTTTAATTTGTGATCTAATGTAATTCTTTTGTTTTCTGCTGAACGTAAAGTTACATTAAATTAACTGAAAATTAGATAGGAATTGATAGAGAGTAGTTTGTTTTATAGAATTATAAATTTAAAATCATCGCAAATTACTCAGGTAGGTCTCAATCATTACGATGAGCCTCGTAGTCACGGGCACCTGTCCGCACGTGTCACAAGTAGAGACACGTGCCGCGAAGACACCTGCTATTGTGTTTCTGTATTTTTTGTATATTCTATGTGATTTGGGAGGTTTTTCAGCTCAGGCTTGACAGTTGGCTGTGTTTAACTGTGTATACACACCACTGGCGAAACTTCCGTGCAAAAAATTGCTGTTCTTATTAATAAAGGCTGATTAAAAACATTTAATAACTAGACACAACATATTGATAAAATTATGAAAATATATTTATTAAGGGATTTATTTATTTATTTTGGCTTTTGTGAGCAATACTGATATATAGATATCGTGTCTAGTATATATATATATTTAAAATTCTGTTTTCGTTTAAGAAAAAAATAGATCAAATGCAAATGCAGACCATGAATGGCTGACATTGAAAAAAAAAACAGAATTTTTTTTTTTATATAAATCGAAAAAAGAAAAAAAAATGCATTATCTATCAATCCAATGAAGAAGAGTATGGAAAAGAAATTAGATAACATTTGATATGGTAACACTGCATGCACAGTTTCGTGCTTGTGTTTCAGGGGTGGGGGTTTAGAAGCATACACACACACACACACACTCTCTCTCTCTCTCTCTCTAAACAATTTAACAATTTATTAAATTATAATAAAATAAGCCACTAAACAGATAAATGCCAAAAAAAAATAATAATAAAAAAAAAAAAATAATAAAAAATAAAAATAAATAAAAAAATAAAAATAAACAGACAGATAATTGGATTAATATATTAATAATTATTTTTTATTATCAATGTATTACTAGTAAGTAAATGAACGAAATAAATAAATAACTTATTAGTTAAATATAAATATATTATATATAAACAAATAGAAAACAATTATTAGAGAAAAAGTGGTTTTGCAAAGAAAAGAGAGAAAAAAATGAATGTATATACATGCTAGCAATCTTTTGACAATCTGCAGTTAATAAAAGGCATCATTTTACAAAAGTTGGAGGACGTCATTTCAACAAAACTACGACAATGCTAAACTTTCAAGTAAAATAATCTACTGATTAAATATAGAGGTATAAATGTTCTTCATAATGCAAGTTCGACATTGTTTATAGAAAAAAATAACCTCAGTGCCTCTCAGTATGTCCTCAGTAGCCTCAGAAAAAACCTCAGTATCACTCAGTATCAGCTCAGTTCCCTCGGAAGCACCCCAGTGCCCCTCAGTACTTCCACAGTATCAACAGTCCAAACCTCAGTGCTCCTCAGTAGCACAACAGAATGCACAGTCAAAACCTCAGTGCATCTCAGGACTACCTCAGAATCTCAGTAGTAGCCTCAGTACCACTCAGGGTTTTCTCAGTACAACTCAGTACTTTCTCAGGGTTTTGTTGGATTCTCAGGGTCTTTTTAATACAGTAGTGTCTTAGGATGTAATCTACTAGACTTGCTTCGGATGCTGAATCTGACCTACATTTTCCGGTTGAGTGAACAGGTTAAAGTTTTTGGTGATGGTTTCATTTCCAAGCTACTATGAGACATATAATGACCAACTTGCATGGATGGTACATCTTAGGATGCATATTACAAGACTTGCTTCAGATGCTGAATCTGACCTACATTTTCTGGACGAGTAAACAGGTTAAAGTTTATGGTACAGGATTCATTTCCAAGTAACTTTGAGCTCTATAATGACCAAACTTGCATGGATGGTACATCTAAGGGTGCATTCTACTAGGCTGGCTTCGGATGCTGAATCTGACTTACATTTTCTATATTAGTGGAAAGGGTAATTTTTTTATACAGCCGTTTCATTTGCAAGTAACTTTAAGCCCTATGTTGACCAAACTTGCATGGATGATGCATCTTACTTCTTAGGATGCACACTAATGGACTTGCTTCAGATGCTGAATTCGACATACATTTTCCAGATAATAGACCTCGTAAAAGTTATGGGTGCAAGTCTATCACCAAGAAACTATTAGGCTTATATAAACCAGTTGCACAAATGATGCATCAAGGAATGAAAACTCTCAATCTTGCTTCAGATGCTGGATTTTAATTACATTTTCATGATGAAGAACTAGTTTTTAGTTTTTATATAGGTCTATTGCAAAGTATCAAATTTGCATAAATTTTGCATTTTTGGATGTACACTTTTTGTTGGTTAATTGTGTGACTTAATTTGCCTTACTTAAAGACAACACACGTTGAGGTGAGCTCTTTAATCTCTGATGTGTTACTTAAAAAATATGGAATACATACATAATTCTATAAATAAATGTTTCTGAAATTGACTTTAAATTCAATCATGATTGTTATATTTGATGTGTTGCTGGGCAACCAAATTACAGGGATAACACCAAAAAAATATCATTTCCTGTTAGACTTCGGTATACCCTTGGATTACATATAATATTAGTTTTTTTGAAGAGGGGGCCTAGATTGGCTCTTGTCCTATCTTATTCTTGAAGTATTGTACGGAAGTCATAGCACCCCCAGTTTAAGGTTTTGTAAAGGACTTAGAATTTTTCGGGAGGGATGGGGGAGGGGGTTGATCACATTCAAATGTCAATTGGTTTTCTTTGCATTTGTAGACATCCAAAGAAAGATTTTGTTCTTTGAATACTCCTGTGAGATATAAAACCTACCGACTCAAAAGTTACGAACAAGGTAAAGGAATACTAAAATTAAGCAAACAGTCAGACAGACAGGTCCAAAATAAAATCTGAATCCACGATTTTAGGGGCATGAACATCATAATAAACCCCGGCAAAGTTACTGATTACCTGTGTATGTACCAGATCAAGGAAGGCATCCGAAACCTTTAAAATAATAATCTGAATATGGGTGACAAAATATAAACGTTTTATACACCTACATTTACTTTATATGCCCGTACACTGGGTGAAAGCGAAGCGTAGCCTAGGTCACGCAAGTCGTTTGACCCCCCACTCAAACGCCTTGGAGCATACTGTAGATAAAATTTTCACCACGGGGAGGCGCTGTTAAAGAACGTTAATTCTAAATTTTATGGCGACTCCGCTGAAAGTCATTACATTTAAAAAGTAAATAAGCATATACTGTCAAAAATTCTATACATTTCTTTTTTTTTTAATTCAGCAAGTGATTAGAAAGTGTGTACTCTAACAATTAGACTGTTTATTATTTCATCTGCAAACTCCTACGCCTGCATACGCACTCTGTGTATCAGATGACTAATGACCTATATAAATAACTACGGCACACTGTAAATTATCTTCAACTTCAAGCATCAATTTCGGTTAAATAACGTATAACAGTGACTTCCCATAACCCGTAGCTAGCACTGCAAATATGTCAAACCTATTTGCTAATTTCTCCAGGCATACTTTCTGTGATGTTTTAAAGGAAAGCCGATTCTAAGATCAGCCAAAACTCTGCTGTCAAATGTTTATTTTTGTTCAACCAATCACAGGCTTTATCAAATTCTGGATAAGCCTCGTTCTGAAGTAAAAATATTTAAAGTGGAATGCTCCTAGACGTTTGATGTGAGACCATGCATCGATGCAACAAACGTGTAGGTGACCTAGACTAAGCGAAGCGTATCACATTCTTTAAAGAGAATGATCCTGGTGGTTTTCAAATACAACAAGGTGCAGGCAACAATAATGCCCCGCCCATCGAAAGTAGAGAAGTCATAAAGTGTCCGCTATTTGTTGGAAACAAAAGGACCTGATTTCAGAAATGTAGTGGGATTATCACAAGAGGTAAAATGTTGAAAATAGATTTGATCTTTTAGATCTGAAAATGTGACATTTTAAGGATAATGAAAAAAAAAATTAATTTCATTCTTAGGTGCCTGGATAAATTTGTATTGTTGATCTATTTATTTTGAAAAATCTTCAGTTTCCAGGGTTTTCCATGGGCTATTTAGCATGGTATCTCCGCCATAGTTAAATAAGGTAGCGTCACATTTAAAAACACAGCCCGCAAGTTCCTCTTCGAATATGAACGCCTCAGA